TCTTCTATTTGTTCTTCAAATTCTTGCATTCTTTCCTTATCGAATTCTTCTGATTCAGGGTTCATCCATTCTTCTATCTTTATTCCCCATTTTTCTCCTAATTCTTTTATTTCTTCATTAATTTCGTCCTCTTTTTCAAGGAGTTCTTCTATGAATTCTTCTAATTCTTCTTGAGTTTTCATATTTGAAATTTCTCTTAATTCTGCAAAGTTTCTTATTACTATATTTGTCTTTTTCAAGATATATTGTAAAAATCTATTTATATAATCTTCCAATACTTGATCTGGTATTGCAATCTTTTCTATCATATTTAATGTATTATCTACTACGTAATTGGCTAATACTTCTTTTAATTTTGTGCCAATAAATTTCTTTGCTGTTACTATTAGGTATTTTCTTATTGCATACGACATTTTCTTCGTAATTCCTTGTGATATATTAAATTTCCTATCTACTTGTTCTAAAAGATATCCTGCTATATTCTTTCCTAAAAAACTTACTGCTTGTTGCATATATTCTATTGTTTCTTCTTCATTTATATCATCAACTTCTTGTGCCATTTCTTCTGTTAATTCTTCAATTAATTCGAAAACTTCTATTTTCTCTTTTTCTGGAGTATTGTGCATCGTTATTAATGTTTCTCCAACATTTCCATCTTTCTCTTTCCTAATTATTTTTGATTCTTCATTATCGATATATATTGGTCCTAAATTCTTTAAAAATGGTCTTCCAATAATTATGTCTGACATTCCTAAACTTCCTATGACGTAAAATTCTTGTTCTGTTTTTAGTTTTTCTTTTCCTATTTTTATATTTACCATTGTTTTTCCTTTTACATCTGCATCTGTTTTTCCTACTGTTCCAAATTTCATATTTGTTGGTTCTATTCTTAATTTTAATCTTTTCGCTATACTTTCTTTTATCGCATTTTTTGATGCTCCAGTATCTAATAGTCCAAGAAATTCTTTTCCTTTAATTTCTATTCTTACGTGGTAATTGTTTCTTGTTTTTGGTAGTTCTTCGATATTTTCTTTTTCATCCATCATTTCCATTTTTTGATAATATTTTCTTTTCTTTTTTCTTTTTCTAATAAGTTCTATTTGTTGTAACGATTCTTCTTCTTCTATTTCTATTCCTCTTGGTTTTTTAATTTGTATTTCTTGATTATTAATTATCATTTCTTCTGCAATTTCCATACTTATTGTTCTATGTCTCCTTTTCCTTTCTATCTTTACTCCTGATAATTCTTCGAATTTTTCTTCTATTTCTGATTCTCCATTTATTAAAATAATATCGTTTTCCTTTCTTCCTTTTACTTCTTCTATTGCTGTTTTAGTAAATCCCATTTTTGATATAATCATTCCTTTTGATCCTAAACTTTTTGATACTGTTCCTATCATTTGTGT